GCTAAATCTGCTTCCTTTCACGTTTTTGTCCTTCCACTACCTAAACATCTTGTGGAGTTTTTTCCTTTCCACAGTTGACTTTGGTTTGCTCTTTGGCTTTAGACATTTATTTATGATTGTCTGTATAGCTGCACATGAACGGCTTGTGAAAAGTGCTGTTCAAATTAAATGACTTGACTTTGATAAGAACAGTCACATGAATGAATAAAACCTGAACAGGAATGAATCTGAACATGAGGGACTGGATGTGGGAAGATAGCCATCTTGATAATAATCTGAACACTGTCATGACATTTTATAGACATAGCTTATAAAGACCAAATATGAAGAGACAAATGTTAATTTTTGTCTGCCATGTAATGTATATCAATTAATGTGTCATGGACATTTGAATTTAATTAACTGAAATTGTTTCCTTACAAAAAATAAAATAAAATAAATAAATACATCATACACACACATACATACATACAATATTTTCTTATTATTCTTTAAAAATCTTTAAATAGCAGATAAAAATAAATATCAAGAAATAATCAAGGACACAAGAGTGGTGTTGCTCTGAATATCAGCATGACGGTGAACTGTCATTTGTTTAGAACTGTGTCAACTGTTGCCATCAAGTCATGTTTAGCGGCCTTGAAGTCAATGGTTTTCCTGTGTGTTCAAACTAGACAATTTTAATTACAGACAATTCAGTTAAAGGCATTTCTGTTTCCTTTCACAGTATTGTCCCAGAATAACAGCCTCTTACGCTGACGTGAAGCTGACACGAAGCTCAAGCTTGCTGTGTGAAACAGGCATAAGGCGTTTATCATATTGCCATGGTAACTGATTTAAAATAAATGTAATAGTTATTTTCTTTTTGTGTTGTATTTTAGATAAATGGAGCGTAATCACTCAATTCCAAATGTTTCGATCTCTTATTGTAATACAACAAAACAACAATATGACATTCATAATCTGTTATTTTGCAACATGAATAAAATGAAAGTTGATTTTGCAAAACTAGGCTGGAAGTTTGTACAAAGGAGATATAGTTCCACATAATCAAAATGGAGATCTTCCCATCTTTCCAGTGATTTTAAATACTTTGTTGTGTGTTTCCGACAGCAATGTTTTCAAATAAAGTCTAGTTCTAAATGAAGCCCAGGCTTCACTGTGTCAATGATCTGCAGACTCTATGATCTAAGATGACTTGGGTAAAGGAAACCTAGATGTTATGGTTAATATTGCATCCATTAGTGAGTGTATCAGAGTGCATTGAGGATTCCAATTTCATTTAACTGCTCTGACAGTAACTGGTCCTCAGGGAAACACCAAATATACCTCTGTAATGGTTTTAATGACCAGCAGATGTCAGCAGAGTTATTAAACAAAGATGGCAAGGATTCACTGTCAGGCCTAATAACCCTTTCTGAGCTGACAGACCTCAAAATGTCTCAATTTAGCACAAAAATAAGTTTTCTTGTGCCACTGCCAAGATTCCATTTATGCTTGATCGGAATATAAATAAATCAAAGTGTCAATGATGAAATCTCTCCCTATTTCCCCTCATTTATTCCATTTTGATTTTATCCTAGTTTCACTTGGTTTCTCCTGCCAGATGTTGACTAGTTTCATCATTCCGACCAGTTTAAGAAGAAAAGCAGTTCATTTTCATTATTTACTGAAGATCAGTTTTGGGTAATTTTACACAGATTGTTTGCTCTTTGGTAAATGTGACTCATTTGTAGACTGACATCAACATGTGTTCATTCAGTTTTCCCAAAATAACACAATAAAAAAGTTATTAAGGCATATTAGCAGGTCGTTTCCTAACGCTGAGTGGGGGAAAAAGGGAAATGACAAAATCAACCTACCTCATGCTCCCCTACTAAGCCTAAATAAACTGCGAGGATCTCCCTACACTGCATATTTACGAGCTGGGCTCCCCAACGGCCAAGCCATTTCCCTGGAAACAGAAGGAGGGTATGGGAAATACGATTCAATAAGGCTGCAAAAGAAAAGAGGACGCCACACCAGCACTGCTTTTCATTGGCATGTGTACACACACACACACACACACACACACACACATACCAACTGCCAATGCTACACACTCTTTTGCTGAAGTACACACACTTGTATACACATAGAAACTCACAGCTGTAAGGAAACCGCAAAGACGTCACAGATGGCTATTTTTATGTGCATGGACTGATGCAGACATTTTTAGGAGTGACACCTCACCTCCTAAATGTAATGGTGTGTGGTTCGACCACCAAGAGCACCAACCTGGCCAAATGAATTATTTCTTCCATTCAGAGAATACTAGCATGTAAGCATGGTGTCACTGGCTGTATCTGAATACGCATACTTCCCTACTATATAGTGGGCAAAAAAACATTAGGAAAGAGTATCATGTTTGAATTCATAGTATTCCTAAAACAGTAGGTAAAAAGTCCCCGGATAACGTATTATTTCCGCCCAGATTCTATCCTATGGCCTATAGGAGAGGATTGGGAGGCCTGTCCCAATACCCCCAATGCACTGCGTCCAGAATCGCATACTGCCTAGTAAGTACATTTGGTTTGAAAATGACTGTGACCGTTAGAAAAAGTATGCGCTATGAATGTGTGTAGTATGACTGAAAATCGAATGTACTACATTCACCATGTTATCACTGTCATGTGACCTATGACGTCAGTTGCAGAACTTCACTGTCATTCTCCAATCCTGTCCCGTGGCCTCATGGGATAGAAAAGTCCACTGGATGCACACTTCAGAATCTCGCTGGAAGTAATAAGTCATCTGTGTACTTTTTGCCTACTGTTTTATGAATACTATAAATTTAGTCATACTACTTGGCTCATGTAGATCAGTGGTTCCCAACCCTGGTCCTGGAGGCACCCCAACACTGCACATTTTGCATGTCTCCTTTCTCTGACACAGCAGTTTCAGGTCTTGGAGTCTCTACTAATGAGCTGATTACCTGAATCAGGTGTGTTTGATTAAGGAGACATGCAAAACGTGCAGTGTTGGGGTGCCTCCAGGACCAGGGTTAGGAACCACTGATGTAGATTACTGTTTTCCCCTCTATATTAGGATGCAGGGTTGCATGCATTCTTGGCCACTTGAGAGCATGTTCATGTGACAGGAAGTAAGTGTGCAAGACTGTGTCAGGTCTAGGGTTGCAAAGGGGTGGAACATTTCCGGTAAATTTCCTGAAACTTTACAAAAATCCCTGGAATATTCCAAAAAATCCTGGAAAGTTTCCAAAATTTCTGGAATGTTTCCTAGTTTCCTAGTCAGGTCTGAAAAATGTCAAAAACATCCAAAAAAAAAAATCCCACCACTCTCCATGTTCAGGAACTTACATGGCCTGAAATCCCAAGATTTGAAGGAAAACGTTTCAGCGTAAGTCAAATTAATTAGATAATACATGCTATTTGGTAGTGAAATACAAAATGTTGCACAACTGCTTTTTATCATTTAATTAGTAGCACCACTATTAAATTCAGTCATCTGTTAAATATGGACTACTAAACAGACATTTAGAAGTTCATTAAAGTGCAAAGTATTGTACACCAAAATGTGTAAATAAAGTATAGTTTATTTGCATTTTTACAACACTATGTTGTAAATGTGTCCCATCGGGTAATCAAAAGTTCTACATATTGAAAACTTGAGCCAAGTAGCCTACAGGAAACACGTCATGTCATTTGACAAGTGGTCAAATATTTCAAGTGTGGGTTTTGAGACAGAGCCAATGTGTAGTGAGTCAGGGTCCAAATTCATGTACAGTACACAGTGCACTGATTCACTACCTAGGGAGCTAGAGAGCTGATTGAGACACACCCACAATCTTACGCCGCATGAGCAGTAATCAGCTGTTGATAATTACCGCTAACATGATGTCAGCTCTGCCTGCTAAAGGAAGCCATTGTGAATCACCTGTATAAAAAAAAACAAAAAAAAGGATCCAAATTGCTGACAGCACAGCTGCCACAACACCAGGAAGCTTCGCTACTTCATAAAACCCAGTAGGGAGGAGGACGGGCGTCTCGTTAACACCCTGGGTTCTCCCTTGTGAAGCCCACTCATTACAGCAACTCGCATGACAGAGTGAAAAAAGACACATCATTTTGTTCAATATTTCCAACACGTCATATTTTCTCCATTCCTTGGGCGAGGGACCAGTGCCAGAATGTTTCGAGATACCTTGTGGTATACGTTAGTAGTCGTTTTAAACGCTCCGCATATAAAACTGTTGTTGTTCTCAGCTACCAGTGAAACCTTTTAATAGTTGTGGGGTTCCCTGGATGCTTCCTGCTCCCCTCCAGGTGGGCTCAGGGTTTGGCCCATGATGCTGTGTGGTTTCTATCGGACACACACGTGCACAGCTGCATTTCAACAACACAGACGAGACCGAGTGGAAAATGTGTGCACTGCATGGCATGTTGGCTGAGATCGTAGAAGCCCTGGTAAAAATGAACCTAGTACTTATAGAAAATAAGTAAAGAGCAAATAATCTTTCATGATAAAATAAATAAATCATGTGGGCCATCATATTTCTGTCTCAAAGCAAGAAATAATTTCCATGTGTTGTTTTGTGGTCTACTTCTTTCACCAAAAGATGGCAGCAGTGCAAAATGTCTAATTAATGCTTATTAGTTAGCGATAGAGAAATCCACATTTGGATGGATGGATGGTAGGGGAGGTAAATAAATACATAGGTTTCATTATGTTTTTTTTTTATTTTTTTTAAAGTATACTAATTTGCTACCCTCAACATTTGTAAACGTTAAATGTCACATCCAAACAGTTGTGTTGTGTTCAGCCATAAAGTGAGCAATCCACAGAGAGCATCGAGCTGTGTACAGTATCTTCTCCACTGAACAGCTGCTGTGTGCGGTCGGTGCACCTGATCCCGCGCGTCTCACGGGCGCATTCCTTGGCCAATAGCAGCGCGCGTCTCTGCACAGGCCCCGCCCACACGCGCTCATTGAACTTTCATTATTTACATCAAGCGCCTTGACATCCACTTTTACTTTCACGCTCTTCGGGAGACGGTTCAACACAGCACTTTGTGTTCGTCATGATGCGCGACGCGCTCACCGGTTTGTGCATTGGGATTATACTGTTATTAAACAGCGGGTTTGTGGTTATGAGGAGGCAGGACTCGTCTTCAGCTCTCGGCAGTATTTTCCGAACGAGGTGCGCCGCCAGGTGCCTGAGCCTTCACAGCACGCGCATCGCTCTCTCTCCAAGACATTTCCAGGTAAGGAAGAAAAAAGTTGAAAAAAGCGAATGTTATTGTATACTCAAATGTACCGAGTAAGAAAATCAGTTATAAATGAATAAGTGCCTTACACTGCCATTTATTCAATATGCTTTATTATTAATCAGCTTATAGGCTATTGTTTTTTTTCCACAACAGATACAGATTAATATTAATAATAATAATAACACTGAAATGTTATTGGCATTAGTGTTATTATTGTTTTTCTACTGCTTTTGACACAACAACGAAACCAACTTTACTAAATGTATTAAAAACATATTATTATTATTGTTATTATTATTATTATGCAAGGCTGGTTTTGGATATAAAATGCAAAAACGGTCTAAATTCATGGTCTCAAAATGGTCAGGAAGAGCTAAGATTGAATGGCTGTAAAATAATTATACAAACAATACATTAAATAAGTTACTCTATCTATCTATCTATCTATCTACTATCTATCTATCCACACACACACACACACACACACACACACTCTTGTCTGGTCAGCTATCTTTGTGGGGACTCTCCATAGGCATAATGGTTTTTATACTCTACAGACCGTATATTCTATTGCCCTACACCAACCCTACCCCTAAACCTACCCCTCACAGGAAACTTTCTGCATTTTTAGATTTTCAAAAATCTTCATTCTGTGTGATTTATTAGCTTGTTTACCCGTGGGGACCTCAATTTAGGTCC